CAGCTGACTTGAGCTCAGTGAATGTTTCCCTCATGTTTCAGCTGTAAATAAAACATGAAGCTCATTTTGGAAATTATCGTCCAGTTACAGTCACAGAGGACAGCAACATAGGATTTGGTCATTGGTGAGTTATTAGCCAATGAGAATGCAGCATCGGTCAGTTTCAGAGTCAGATCTAGTGCACACCAGGGACCTCTGGTTTTAAACACGGTGACAGCAATAACGTTCAGTTTGTGGCTTCGCAGCATGACCTCACTAACCAGCGGTGATGTCACGGTGACTCCGTCCTTCTTTTATATACAGTTAGTTTCCTAGCACTGATGCAGTGACCAGTGGGTGACTGTAGATGACTGACAGTGACATCTGGTTTCGAAGCTCATACGTCTCCAGAGAAAGCATGTTCACAAAGCAGGCTGGACTCAGCTGTGAGGCTCGTAAACCCTCCTGCAGAGATGTTTCCTGAACATGAAGTCATCTGTACTCAGTAATCTGCCTGCTTGTTGACCTCTGGCTGTTTGCATCATTAATAAAACCGACGCGTTCGCTCATCCTGCTGTTCATCAGCTCTGGTCACGTGCAGCACGTCTTTAAGCTCAGGTGTGTCAGCTCAGGTGTGTCAGCTGAGGATCAGGGCGTTTTCACAGAGTAATCCAAACCAGCAGCAGATTAATTAATCTGTTTACATTAGCCTAACCACAGCTCTGCAGCTAACCACCGTGGTGTGTCATCTTTACTATCTCGCTAACTTCCTGCTAACCTTTTGACATGGATGTTGAACAGCTGTGAGAACAGCCCCACCAATCTCTTTATTCTTAACTCCCAGGATTCGAGTAAATGCACCAATTACTAAGATTGAGTTGATAAATCTGCAAGACCTGTCAGCAGGTCGAAGTGATGAACATGAGAGACATAGATTTGATTGATTATGGAGATTATCAGTATAACTGTAGATTGTTTTATTTGATTAAATACAGAGAAGAACATTTAAAAATGTGATTTACCAAAGAGAGACTTTATTTTTATTATTTTTATTTCTATTTTTAATGAAGCAGGAAGTCCTGAGATGCTGCGTCTCCTGTCTGGCAGACCTGGACACGTGACAGACGTAGCTTCTTCGCACATGAATGATTTATGACAAACATTTCAGAAGAAAGATATTTTTTCTCATATCTATTAAATTCTGTCACATAATGATATCTGTGAAGGTTCTCAGTCATCCAGGTCATCGTAGTCAAAGGAGCTTGCAAAGAAAAGCGTCTGGACTTCTTTAAGTTACTTGAAGACGTTT